CTGCCGTGCAGCGTGGCCAAGATAATCTCCCCTTCCCTTGGCCAGCGGAGCCGGGGATGGAGAGGCCCAAGCAGCTCCGCTAGCAGCGCCAGCAGCACCGCGCTCCCTATCTGCACACGCAGCCGGGCGCGGAGAGGCACCGCACATGTGTCCCCAGCAGATAGGGGAAAACAGCCACGGGGGGCACAGGAGACTGGCTGAAGCTGCCAGCTCTAATGTGTTGAAATGTTGTCATTCCTCTTGTAGGCTGTTAACAAGAAGGCACGGGGGACTTCTCTGCATGGCATCTTCTTAGCTACTCTGTGGGTGGAGAAGCTGAGGAAGCTTCTATGTTATGAAAGAAAGGGGTGTCCGAGGTGGTGCCAAGGGTCTCTTTCTCCAGAAAGCAACAAAGCAAGGGCAGATGGTACTGCGGAGGAATACATGAAAACATGAGGCCTGCAGAAAGAGATGAAAACAGTGAAGGACAAAGCAGCCTCCTTCTCCACTGCCATCAGCAGGAGACATCAAGAGGCATTACCTGAGCCCAAATAGCCAGCTAAGAGGGGACAAGAGAGCTTTGCTAGAAGCGGTTCATAAAGGGAAGCCACAGGAGTCAAGTCCTTGCCTCCATGCAAGGCTGCTACCTGCTCCTTATTCCTCAGCAGGACTTCTTCTTCCTCAGGCAGATTTCCAGCCCCATGCTTTGTTATCTCCTTCCCACTTCTGCAATGCTATTTTTGATCTTGGAGCTTTCCAGGCGGGTTCTACTCTGCCTGCAAAATGCTGGAGATGCCCAAGCAGCTCCGAGCACTCCTGATGTGCCTGGCAGAGCAGTGCCTCCCACCCAACCTGCAGATGCAGGCGAATGGGCTGCTGCTGGCAAAAGAGAAGGGCTTGGGAAGTCCAGGGACACCTACGGTACAGCAGGCAGGAGGGCAGATGAAAATAATTGCAGAAAAGAGTGAAAACAGGGATATTTGCTTTGGCTTCTGTAAGCTTTGCACTAGGGGATAAATTCAAGTTTTTCAAGAGGAAAGGAGAAGAGAGGAAAGATCGTCCCTCTGTCCCACTCCTGCTGCCGTCTCACCAACGGTTTTGCTTTGATGAGAGGGAGGCCAACAGGAATTCTGCTTTTCCAAAAGCTGATGTTAGCATCCAGCATGGCATTTCAGTGCAAGGCTTCTAAGGAGTGGATCTCGGTATCCTTGCTCTTTACTGCTTCCCTTCCCTTTAGAGTAGCTGCCCTGAGAGATTATTATTAAAAAGAACAAAATAATAATAAAAAACACCTTCAGCCTCACCGGTTCTTGTGAATTCTGAAGGTCACCAATGTCACTATCAGTTATCATGCTGCCCATCACTCCCCTCTTCATGCAAATGGATTTATCACCTGCTAAGGCAAGTGTCTCTGGGAGAACTTCCCCCACTCTGCTACCTCCTCTCCCCATACACACGCTCTCCTCCAGCAGCAGCTGCAAGAAATTACCAATTCCATTATTTTTCATCCAGAACAGCTTTGCAGTAGACGGGAGAAGCACTGGAGGCTGCAGGCTCGTTAGCACAGGATTTGTATTACCGCCTTCCATTTTATTCACCTTCCGAAATTAGGTGAAGCATGTCTGCCCCAAACCTGTGATTTCTGTTTAATTAAAATGCAGGTAGTGGAGTCTCCCGAACGCCGGAGCCAACCACACGATCACGTAATGACAGTGACCGGGTAAAATAATGTGCTCGACACAGCAGAGCCTCTAACGGAGTCCTGATTCCAGCCAAGCCGAACGGCACCTCTGGCAGCAGCTGGATTTCGGAGCCGGATGAGTATCAGTATCCCGGCCTCACTGCACGCTCCCTGCCTTTCCAATCAAAGCCGCATTCCCTGACAGCTCAACTGTTAAATGAATTAACAAGGCGAGTAGAGGGCTTGCCAAAGGGGCCGCGACTCCCTGCTTAATTTCTGCAAGTGGCAGCTCTCAATTTTTCTCTCGTTTGTCAGGGGATGCGCAGGGCTCGCTAACGAGCAGGGCAGAGCCATAGCTGGATCGAAACGGGTGACGTCGCAGGGATCTTCTGCTCTGCCGAGGAGCAGGTGGGGAGATAAGCCTGGCTCAGAACTCCAAAAAAGTCCCGGAATGGGGAATAATTGTTATCCGTATCAGTGGGGTTGCAAGCACCCAGGCAGAACGCCAAGCAGAGACTTCATGGGGCACTTGGATCTTGCTTAACACCACCCGCAGCAAAGAGAAACCACCCAACTTGCACCCAGCCCCTTCCCTCCCCAAGGAGACGGGGAAGCAGATGTTGTTGGTGCCTGGCAAGTTGTCTGCGAGGTCCCTTGGGGTCTCAAAATCTCTCCCTGTCCCTCGGCCAAAGGATTGCAGAGCATCAGACACCACCCAGGAGGACATGGCATGGAGACAGCCAAGGTGTTTCTCAGGATCTCAGAGAAACTCCCTGGTCTGGGTCCTTTTGTTCAATTGCAAAACAGCCCAAAGATCGTTTTTAATGCTGTATTCTTTAAGATCTGTCCAGGAGCTCCACTGCCCACTTAAGCTTTTATTTTATTTTATTTTTTAAATCCAGTTACAATGATAGAAAAAGCTTCAAGTCTGACAAGAGAGAAAGGAAGCTTTGCAGATATTCCTCCTCCTGAACAGGAAGATCTTGCTACACCACACGCAGAAGCTGGGTGTTGCTGTGTCCTCCTGTGCAGAGCACCCGGCTGTGACTGTTTTACTGTCCCCTGCACTGCAGGAGCCAGCACCCACCTGGACCCTCTGGGTCCCGCCTGCAAAGAGTGCATTGCCCAAGGGCACACACAGAATATTCTCTTTTACGGCTGAGGAAGCTCTTCAGACCTACCAGAATTACAACCTCTCCAGCAGAACGAAACACCTTTTAACACTACTCTGAAGTGACTTATCTGGGCGCCTTCAGACCCAGAACCTGTCCCCTTCAGTCATCTTGTGTTCAGCGATACTTTTTCA